TAGGTGATATATTTTCTCCCATCAGGATTTGGACGTAGTTCTGTTTATCCACAGGTCATGGGTGTACCCTATGCTAAGCCACGTATTAAGTGGGTGACGGAAAGATCTACTGCGTACCACTCGTAGGTCAGTCTGTCACTGGGTCTTACGTTAGTCTCCCACCCCTTGTATTTTCTTTTTTTTTGCGCTGGTAAACTCTATTTTTTCTTGGTAACGACAATGAGGTGGACAAATATATATATATATATATATGAATACCTGCCAGGTGGCTGCACTATACAGATCTTATTTCGTTGATCACGAGATGAACATCTCTTCGATCTCACTAAGATGGTGTTCCTGCAAGCATACGGCTTTGCAAAAGAGGTAAATCATGTTGCCCCCCACCGCAACAGCCGTAGTCAGAGATGGGGTGGGGCCGCAGGTGGGTACTATCTAGTCTTTTTCTTTTTTTCTTTTTTTTTCTTCTTTTTTTCTTTTTTTGCAAGCCCGGGGTGTTGCAGAGGCCAAGGGCCAGACCCGCCGTGATTAATGGTAGCGGCAGGCAATGGTTGTCCTGACAGGATAGGGCACCTACCCTACCCATCCCCACGTTAATACTTCCAGCGCAGCGGATGTCCCTACTATCCTACCTCAGTGTGACCAACACTCAGGACCATCACCCTACCAGTATTGAGGGCAACTTGGACCAGACAGCAGTGACAGGCATAGGAGAAGTGGTGGGAAGGTAATGAAAGGCAAGAAGAATTTGAGAGGGAAAAAAAAAAAAAAAAAAAAAAAAAAAACTAAGATGGTGTTGGTGTTCTTTTTGCTTTTTTTGAGAGAGAAAGATCTGATAAAAAAGCAGGGAAGGTCCCTGACATGGGGCCTCACTCCATTGCTCTCTCTCTCCACAGAAATGTCAGGCACAAAACACAAAAACTAGGACAAAGGCCCTCCCTGCACTACTCTCCAAATGTGCAAAATGAGAATGAATCTTCCTCTAGACTGTGGAAATATACATTGCCATCTTTTTTTTTTTTTTTTTTCTTTTTTTTCTTTTTTTTATTGAAAGGGCCACGGCCTTGAGATATTATCATTGAGCTCACCAGCCCCAAACAATTCATTAGTAGTTGGTTTTACTTGTCAAGTTCCATCATCTGGATTCGAACACAGGTCTTAACAGTTCATGGGGGTACCCACTGAGCTAAGGCTTTTAGTTTTTTTTTTTTTTTTTTTTTTTTTTTTCTTTTGCCTTTTGGAAACCATGTACGAACTGTTGATAAGCGGACCAGAGTTCAAATCTCGCTGGGAATCAGACGAATAACGTTGCTCTGAGCTACCCAAAGCAAGGTCCCACTACCTTTTTCCCCCGAACACAACGCAGCCACCCTCATTTTGACTGTATGGGGCCCCCAAACATACCTTGTATACGTTCAGTTTCAGGATGCGTTAGCAAGGAGGGTTGGATTGGATTAAGCGCCCGAAGCTGGATGGTAGGGTTGGATTAAGCGCCTGAAGCTGGATGGATGGTTCTCGAGCAGAGATAGTACCAGTCATAATTTTCTTCACCTCCCGGGAAACACGTCCAGTTTCAGGCATTCAGGCCAATCCAGTTTGCCAGTCACTGTGGGGGCTGACCCCTGGAGATGGTCAGTTCGGATCCTCCGTTGCACCACGCTCCCTCAGGGCACACGAGGGCCTAGGTGCCCCTAGCAATGAGGATAGGATCAAGCTCCTGCATCTGGATGTGTTTTATGCAGAGGTGCAGAAAAGCAGTTCAATCTCGATTTCCTGCACCTCTCCACAATTACGTCCAGATTCGGCCATCCTATCAGATCCTCTTTGCTAGTGGGACCTCTCCCCAGGTCTTGATTTCCAAATGTAAACTCAGATGTACAGTGATGCTGGACCGGTTTTCCAGCAGGTGTTGCTCCCCAACTACAGAATGGATTAAGGACTCTCTGGGCCTCGCCACACCTATCCCAAAAACGCAAAAAAGTTTGGGAGCACTCCCGAGCGCGGGAGATGTGAAAAAACCTTTCGAGAGGGCTCGTCGCCACACTGCGCTCTCCAAGGCGGCAGTCTCCAATTCGTCAGACGAGGCCTGACATTTTCTGGAGAGCGCAGACTACGGGCCTCGCCACACCACTCTTGAAATGTGCAAAATGAGAATGAACTTCCCGCTAGAACATGGCCAGATGCACCCGCCACATTTTTTGTCTTTTTCACATTTCGAGAGTGGTGTGGCGAACCTAGACAAAAAGGGGGCAACAGATGGTTGTCGGTCGAGGCGCACTCTCCAGTTGGGGGCCGAAATCGGAGGAGCCTCGGACCACTCCTCAAATCCGGTGATTTGCAGGCGGGGCGATCCACAAAGTTCGACAGCACTCCCGAGAACCGCATTCTGACAGCTCTCCAAATTCTTTCTTCTGACTGCGATTTTCGGGAGTTGGTGTGGCGATGCCACTTCTCTCCAAATCGCTGTTTTGGAGATAGGTGTGGCGAGGCCCTCTTCCTCGACTCTCACAAAGCTTTTTTTTTTTTTTTTTTTTTGAACTCTCACAAAGTTTTTCGGGTTACTGGAAATTGCTTTTTTTTTTTTTTTTTGGATCTACCGGTGGTAAAACAGGCCAGCTTCCTCTAGCTGATGGCCCATTTGGCTGTTCCCACAGCGCAATGGTGTGCAAGAAGAACAGCCAAGGCCAGTCCGCTCTGCATTCTGTGTCCAGGAATGAGGATAGAGGACGTGTTGCTCCCCACGAATAGATTGGAGCATTTGTTCCAAAAAAAAAAAAAAAAAAAAAAAAAAAAGAGGATAGAGGACTTGCAACACATGTGTTTACATTGCGAGCTCTCAAGGCAACTGTGGGAATGGTGGAGATCGGGAACGGTGCCCATCCCCCACCAGGACACCAGATGGGGAGACGAGTACGTGCTACTTGGTGCAGTGGCCCGGAGACCAAATGGGAAGGACCCCCTTGCATATCCGGAAGAGAGCTTGAGGGGAGCCATCCTCTGGACCTTGTGGACATTGCGGAACTCGGCAGTCAGGAGCCTCAGCGGGGAAAGACTGACTCCACCTATGATTCGAGCGGAAGTGAAATTCTCAATCAAACAGATGGTAGCCACTGATTGGTCCATGGAAGTACAGAACAGGGGATATGCACCGAGACCTCTGAGGAAGTTTCTGCAGCACTGGGAAAGATTCGCGGACTTGTTTCCGATTCAGGATCGGCAACAACAACCACCGCAGTTGATATTTTCGTCCTTTTTTCTTTGAATTTTCTTCCAATCTTCTTTGAATGATGGCACGATAGTGTGAAGTAGCTTTTGTAGTAGAACATAGCCCACGTAATTAGTTACTTGAAACCTTTTTGAGGGGACAACTACGATAGAGAATGGCATTGTAAGTTTTCGTAGGTTTTAGCGAGTAGGATTTTTCTAGGATTTTTCTCGGATTTTTCTAGGATTTTCTAGGATTTTTCTAGGATTTTTCTGGTATGGTTAGGCCAGTAGGCTTAACCAACCCTGTCAGTTGTGCTTTTCTCTCCTTTTAACTTCATAGGACTTCTTTTGAAAGAGACATCACAGTGGACACCCTTTTGAGCCTGGCCGGTGATGCCAAGCCCGATGGGGTAGTCCACTCGATCCATTTTGTAAAAAAAAAAAAAAAAAAAAAAAAAAAAAAAAAAAAGACTGAGTGCATCTTGTCACTGGAAGTTTCTGGAACTGCAAAGAGTCATCCTTCAGTATGAACTAGCAAAGAATGTACCTTGCCAACACATTTTTTATTTTTGTTTTTTTTTAACTGCTGTAGGGAGTGGTAGGGGTGCTGATAGGAGCAGACACCTCTGCGTTTTTTTCCTGTGGATGTGAAGAGGCCCTAAGAGATACCTATTGAGTGTAGATAGAAGATAGATAGCCATACCGAAGGTTAACAGTCTTTTTTTTTTTTTTTTTTTTTTTTTTTTCAAAAGAGCAGGGTTTTGTAGAGGCCAAGGACCAGACTCGCGGTGATTGCTAGTAGCAGCAGCCAATGGTTGTCCTGACAGGATAGGCCACCTACCCTACCCATCCCCACGTTAATACTTCTGAAGCTTAGGGGTAACTACGCGGGAGTCACAAAAACGGGTTCTAATTGCACTATGGGGCAAGATACAGTTTGCAATTGCAGTCCGGGCACCCTCCCTGGCCAGAGAGCTGGGTTGTATACATTGCCTGAACTGCAATTCGAAACTGTATCTTGGACGGTTGTGCAATTCTAACTCATCTTTGTGACTCCTGCCTACTTTCCCCTACTTGTGAAAGTGGCAGCGGTATGCTTTCTGGGATGAAGGGGCCTGGCCTGATCCCAGTTCACAGGGCAGTGTTGTAGGAGGAGGGAATCAGGGGCGAGGCGATCGAGACAACGGAGGTAGGGGTGGAGGAAGGGGCCAAGGCAGGAATGGCGGCGGAAGAGGAAGGCAATGGAATGGCCAAGGCCAGGGGTACCAAGGCCAAGGGGGCCAAGGCCAGGGGTACCAAGGCCAAGGGAGTCAAGGCCATGGGTACCAAGGCCAAGGGAGTCAAGGCCAGGGGTACCAAGGCCAGGGCTATCAAGGCAAGGGGTATCAAGGCCTGGGGGATCAGGGAAGTCAGGGGTATGGAAGACCCCGCTTTGACTGGAGGACGG